CCATAATTTTGACACTTTTTAACGGTTGAGGGGTAAATTGAATAGTTTGATTGGATTTAGGGGCTTAGTTGACCCTCTGAGTTGCCACCTCAGTTGAACAATTGGCACATGACCTGATGACGTGGCGTTGACCGGATGGTTACCTGCAAATTGTAAAAATTGAAACTTTTATCCAGTTCAGGGTGCCAATTGAAGCTTTTATTTAGTTCATGGGGCGAATTGAGCATTACAGACAGGTACACGAGCCTATTTGACCCTTTAGCCTTTATCAAATCTAAGTTTATTATTTCAAAGATGGAGAAGTATTGGATTCCTAAATTGGTGATATTTGGGCCTTTGTCGAAAACAACAACTAGGAAATTACAAAAACATTTGTTAAGGGCGAAGGAGATGGGACCCGTTAAAAGGAGCATGTTATGATCTTTGGGGCTATTTGATGTAATAGTGTTAAAATCCACTATTAAGGCGGAAGAAAATATAACTTTGATAGATGTACAAGTGTGGATATTGTAAGTTATCTCTATTTTAAGTTTACTCATTAGATTAGTCAAAATAGTATTTTATTTACATTGACTTTTTTGTGTTAGGTATCTATACCGCTTGTGCATATCGAGAATTATTGGTCATGTGTATGGATTCATTGATCCACACACCATTCAAGGAGTATGCAATTCTATAAATAAGGTGCAAACGTATATATCTACAAGATTAAATGAAGGTAGAAATCAATGTTACATGGCTCCTTATTACTACCAGTAAGTAAAAGTTACTACAACACATATTTATTGAAGCTTAAGTCACTTTTAATTTGGGATAATGATTTGAGAAAACGGAGATTCAAAATATTAAAAATTGTCAAAGACAACACCCTCCTGTTGTATAAAATATTTTTTATGTATTAAATATCTTTTTAAAATTATTGTTTGTCATTTTTTTATGTATACATGAATCATAGGCAACTCTTTATTCTCTCTCTAGTCCAAAACACTATTGTCTTCTTGTGTTTTGGGGGGAATAAGCCAAATAGATAGTTCAAAAATATTATTGATGCGTACGTATTTTGTACATTCCGTTTCAATTAATTTTGGAATATATATTGTATATCTTAATTACATAAATCATTCATTATTATATATATATTTAATATTATAAATTACATAGTGCAATGGAGGCAAGCCGTAGGCTCAACCCAAGAAAGGGAAGAGTGAAATGGATTATTCCTATGGTAAACACTTGCTACTTTACTTTGTATGTTATTTTTACTTTTATTTGTGTAGCACCAAGTCAAATACCGTAATTCCTGATTAGTAATTTTGTTGTCCTAACTTGTAGTCTCGAATGCATGTTAAGAGTTATGAATGTGGTTATTATATGATGTTGCATATGTTGAATATTGTTTCGGCGGTGATTCTTGAAATGTGGGATGAGATACATCATTATTTTATTTACACTCAATAGGTTTGCTCCATGTAATGTTTTTTAATAACCTTCTTATTTAATTTGTAGCAATTCGCCAATCCGGAACCATTCTCGTCAAAAGAGATTGATGAAGTACGAACTCGTTGGGCATCATATTTCTTAGATTGATGAAGTACGAACTCGTTGGGCATCATATTTCTTAGAAATGACGCAATCCATCAACAGCACATGATGAACATGTTTGTTTAAGTTTTTGAGTGATTATGAGACTTGTAACATTAGACAATGTGTTATTACTCTAGATTTGTGCAAGGATTGTTTTATTTTAGCTTATTGTTATGTACTAAATTGTTACTTAAACTTGTTTAACATTTGTGGAAGAATTGAAAAATAGTTTGTGTTATTGTTTTGATTGATCAAGTGATCGGGTGAAAAATTGTGCTATAGTAGTTGATGATACTGTTGGTGATACAGGGGTCATACTACATTTTTTTCCCGGAAATTTCTACATCGGTTGATAAAACAACCGATGTGAAAAACCTATGTTCCGCAAAAAAAATTGAAGCTTTTCTACATTAGTTGTTTTTGACCTGATGTAAATTCTTTCACATTGGTTATATCCGATGTGGAATACCGTTTAAAACACCGTTTTGGACAATCTTCTAGATCGGGCACTGCACGACCAATGTAGAAAGGTTTTCTACATTCGTTCTTTGACCGATGTGAAAAGTCTCTACTTTTCACATGGGCTTGAACCACATTGGTTGTTTGACCGATGTGAAAAGTCTTTTTTGACCAATGTGAAAAGCCTTTTTGACCGATGTGAAAAGTCTTTTTTGTACTAGTGGTACTATCTATCTTTTATATGATAATACTTATTATCATGTACATTGTTTGTTTATATGTGATCATTGGGAGATAAAAATGGAAAAAAGTTATCCTAATAGAACTAAAATAATGCAATGGTGCACATATAGGATTACTATGTTCAATTCGTCCATTATTCTTAGGAGTAGCAAACACTCGAGTATACCCAAATACCGTACATTAAGGTTGAACGCGTGCATCACATTCGAAGATTTCCTTTCTTTCAACTTTCTAAAGAAATAGCTACAACCGATAGATAATCATACAAAACTGATATTATGGCCTGTAATTAGTAGAAATGGAAAATGTGAATATTCCCTCAGCTCCTTCAATGTTTAGCCTACGGATAGTTGAGAATAATAGCAAAAATTGAGCGAAGAACAAGTCAGACTCATACTTTGTGATTGACAAAAGTTTGACAAACGTTGGACGTTCGAATACTGGGCAACAACTTCAAATTAACGGGAGTGTGGTATGTTGTGCTTGATTCGTGCAAAATTTAAAGTGATGAATGTATAATATAGGACGTTTGTGAAAACACATGTCTTTATGATCATGTTTAAAATCAAAATGTGGAAGAAATAACATGGTAACTCGCATTTTAAAGTTCGTACATCACAATATCAAACATGGTAATCAGGTAATGTAGGAGTTTATAGATATTGCAATGTTTGTATTTATAGATTTAATTTGGTGCACTGACACACAAAGCTGCATGTGAACACAAACAAGGGTTGTTTGTGTTCACAAACATTAATTTTGGTGCCAAAATATACATTAATTGTCACTTCACAGGCGTAATGCCCAATGTGACCAAATTATAGTTTTTTAGATAGACATTACCACACAGACAACGTTTATGTTTCTCACAGACAATAGTTGTCTGTGATTTTTTTAGTTGTCTGTATTTACATAGATTTTATCACACAGACAATAGTTGTGATGCCCAATGAGAATGGGTAGATAGAGAGGGAAGAGAGAAGGGAGAGATGGAAGAGGATGAGGGAAAGAGAGGACATGAAAAGTATTTATAATGTGTATATGTTAAAGTATTTGTCACACACCGGAAAACTATAAAACAATAAAATACTATATAAGGCTTTGAGCTACTCCTCATATCAGGTTGACCTTTTACGCTGGAACCCCATGTCTTAATATGGTATCAGAGCCAAGTCTGATTATGCTTTGACTGCTTGTTTAGCACCCATGATTAAGGGTAGCTTGTTAAGGGTTTGTTTGTCCCATTTATACACCCTGATATTTTCCAACCCGGTTCGGGCTGAGGGGGCGTGTTAAAGTATTTGTCACACACCGGAAAGCTATAAAATGATAAAATACTATATAAGGCTTTGAGATACTACTCCTATCAGGTTGACCTTTTGATAAAATGATAAGATACTATTTAACAGTATATATTGAGCGTAACTCTTTGTGTACTAATGTTATTTTCCTTTTGAAATAGTCAATGTGCCATGATATAGTGAAATGTGCATGTGTGTAATGTTTGAAAGGAATAGTGCTGACCCACACGGGTAGCTCAGTTGATTGAGTGGTGGAAAAGTTGGAACATTGACCAAGGATCAAAACTCGCAGCGGATGTGTGGTGGCTATCGCTCATGTACATTTCTTCATATAATGGTTCCAAATTGATAGATAAGCATGTAAACAATCTCAGAACTCTGAATTTTAAAAAGCAGTGTCAAGTTCATCAAATCACTATTTTAAGTCATGTACAATTATGTTTATGTTGATGAAAAATGATATTATATGACCAGACCGACAGGACTCGTAACTTTGTAATTTCAAGATATTCATCAAAAAAGTGAGTTGTTCTGTGGTGAGGCTAGGATAATATTTTCGAAAGATTCATTCTATTGACAAGACATGTACAATTATGCTTATGTTGATGAAAAATGATATTATATGACTAGGATCACAAGACTTGTAACTAATTTGTAAGTCCAAAATATTCATCAGAAAAGTGATGTTCCTCTGTTATTTATGAGAAGTTTTGAATTTGTCCATTCACTCTATTGAATTTAGCTAAAAGAATAGAAACTGCATTTATGTATAGAGAATGTCTACTAAAACAAGTCTTGCTTTCCATCAAATCCAAAGTGTCCAAATGATGCTTCTTGGGATATATCCAACAAAATAATGACAATCACACATATATTATAATGACAATGACTTTATAAAAGAAGCTTCAAGTGAAGGCCTTACCATGAAATTATCCTTGCCATTGATGTATTTGAGCTAGGTCTTCTTTTATAGAGAAATCAATCTCCAAACAAGCTTCACCTAGTCTAGTGGATTCAGAATTCGATAGACTATCTTTGTGACATTCCCTTATTAGAGCTCTCAAAGTTGTTGATCGCGTGCTTATCATAAGTTACTCACTCGGCTAGATTTCCTACTCGTTACGAAGCATTTTGTTTCAATTTTCAAATCATCTGTATGCCACACATTAGGTTCATTCCAAATGATGGTTAGTTTTGTTTGTTTACAACACTTTCTTCAAAACTTTCTTACCTCATTACCTGGTAATATGTATTACCTCCGTCCCACTAACATTGGGGCAAGAGGGGGTGACACTTTTAATTTATAAAATTAATATGATTGATAAAGTAGGAATAAAATAAAAATGATTTATACTCATACAAACTTTACCAAATTTGATATGAGAAAATGTTAGTAGATTTCATAAAAAGGTAAAATGGGACAATCGAGACAGAGGAAGTGTCAAAATTTAAGTGACATAAGAAAACAAAAGCAATCATATATCAAAACAACAAGCAGAACCTCAATGTATCAATCCCTGTTATGATTACAAAAATCAATGAAATTCCCAACAAGAACAAAAATTGATACCAATGTCGGAATAAGTATAATGAGACTGGCCTTTCTAATTCTCTTTGTCATGTTGGCTAGAAATCCTGTTTTGCAAGAATCACAAGAGTAGCAAAGTTGTCTCTGGTCAATGCTCCAATTTGCACAGTCACCGCCTGTTTGATTATTTGGCGTCCAATTAGTTGAGCTTACAAAAGTGTACTCACATTCTGCCGATGGCATACAACATCCAGACTGCAACCATTTGAGATTGTAAAAAATACTTAATTGTAATGGAAGAATTCTTTAATTTTGTTATACTTAGTGAGTAAACCCCTCTATCACAAAATATTTTTATAGTGATTCATTTTCCCAAAACAATCAACAATTGTACAACTCAGTTTTGTAGTCGAGTCTTTCTTAATTTAACTTTGATATTTACTCTTGAATTGTCTCGTCTGAGGCTGTCTGGAATAAAAATATACTTCATACTGAGTATTTAATATCCCTTTTATCTGGCCCAAAAAATTATATCAATGAATTGAAATCAAATATGGTTACAACTTTAGAAGCAATTCAAACGAATCGACTCGAGAAATAGCCCTAGGAATCCCTAGGATTAAAGAAGCGTCCACTTCTGAAGGAGCAACTTGAGTCGTAGACCACTTGATGAGCAACCCTAAGTCACAAGTGACCAGATTGATCACCATGCTTCTAGCTTTAACAAAATCCTTCTGCAATCAACAACTAAACCTAATACTACCTCTGTCCCACTATGTTTGGGACAATTGGGTTTACCCTTTACTGACGATAAAGCAAACGGATCCTTGTCCGCACTCAAATTATTTTAGAAAAAAAAAATTACATATTCAGAAACTACATTAAAAACTTTGTAAAGTCGCAAAAACCAGAATCAAATTTGATAAAAAAAATATGGTATATAAAGTAAGGGATTACGAGTGATTTGTGTTGACCAATTGAATAGTGTCTGGGACAATCTTAGCAGGACGGAGGGAGTACTAAATACGGTAAAGGCGTAAAGCATACAACCCCTTGAGCAAATTTAAAGTGAGTAAACAAAAACTAAAGCAAAATATTGAACCAAACAAAGCAGCTGAAAATAATCAGAGACTACACGCATTAATAAAAAAAAATAGCAATGAGCCATTGAGCTCTTAGAAGCTGTTCCGTTCACCTGATCAGAATGTTTCTGATCTGAATTTTTTAAGTTCTGATCTGATCTGATCTGAATTTTTCTGATCTGATCTGATCTGAATCTTTCTGATCTGATCTGATCTGATCTGAATCTTTCTGATCTGATCTGAATCTTTCTGATCTGATCTGAATGTTGTTGAACTGATCTGAATGTTGCTGATCTGATCTGATCTGATCTGAATGTTTCTGATCTGATCTGAATGTTTCTGATCTGATCTGAATTCTTCTGATCTGAATCTTTCTGATCTGATTTGAATATTTCTATAATTGTAATTGTAATTACAATTATAATTATTAGATTTATAATTGTAATTAAAAATATAACTTAAATAAAATTACAATTATAATCATAATTATAAAAAAATAATAATTAAAATTAAATTTAAAATTATAATAATTATACCAATTACACTAATTATAAATACAGATACAATTATAAATGTAATTATATTTTTAATTATGATTAATTTTATAATTATTATTATTGTAATTATAATTATAATATTTATTTCTATAGTCATAATTATGTCTATAATTACTAATTTAAATATATAATTACTCCGAAGTAATAATAATTACAACAATAACAACAAGAACAACAATCATATTAATAATAATGATGATTATAATTATAATTACATTGTAAATCATAATTGTAATTATAATTATAAATATATTATATTATATTATATTATATTATATTATATTATATTATATTATATTATATTATATTATATTATATTATATTATATTATATTATATTATATTATATTATATTATATTATATTATATTATATTATATTGTATTGTATTGTATTGTATTGTATTGTATTGTATTATATTATATTATATTATATTATATTATATTATATTATATTATATTATATTATATTATATTATATTATATTATATTATATTATATTATATTATATTATATTATATTATATTATTATAATATAATAATAATTTATATTATTAACATTATTATTATATTATTATTAATAATATTATTATATTAATATATTAATATTATTAACAATAACTATAATATAATAATCATAATTAATACTCCGTATAATAATAAAAGTGATAAATCATGTTTGAATTTTTTGACCTGATCTGATCTGAATGTTTCTGATCTGATCTGAATGTTTCTGATCTGATCTGAATGTTTCTGATCTGATCTGAATGTTGCTGATCTGATCTGAATCTTTCTGATCTGATCTGAATGTTTCTGATCTGATCTGATCTGAATCTTTCTGATCTGATATGATCTGATCTGAATCTTTCTGATCTGATCTGATCTGAATAAAATAAGATTAAGGAATAAGTAATAAGATTAAGACGAACGGAACAGCTTCTTAGTGTCCAGCCATATCGTGTTGTTGTCTGATCTAACTTGACGTCTGTTTCAATAGCAACAACATTTATTCTAGACTTTTCAAACTCCCAAGTTTCAACTGACTTTCATCTCTCCATCATATGACGATTGTAATACTTAACAATAGCTTAAATGATTAATAGTACTCATACCAACAATATATAGAGTCTACGGGACGGAGAGTTTTCAATACTTTCCGGCCCAAAGAAAACTTTAAAGGGCGTTTGATAGTACCTGCAAGGGGTTGAGATGTGCAGCGAACAACTGTTGCGCAGAGGAGTATGCGTTGTCCAACTGCGCGCACGCAATGGAAGGGGTGAGACAGCTTATGATGGGATCCCACCTCCAGTTGCCACTAACTTGTCGGCGAAGCGCGTGAGAGAAGTGATCAAGACGGTATTCCACGTAAGCCCGGTCCGGCACCGAGTCGGGGGAGCCGGAGTATCCGGTGACAGAGAACGCGTAGATGACGTAGCCAAGGATGACAATGGAAAATATAGCCGTGAACAAAAAGTAGAAAGCACTTAGCAGGTTCATTAAATGAGATTCCACGCCCACCGCCCTCCTGACCGACATTGCCACGCATCCCAGCAGGCCCAATATTAACATCGCAATTCCACATGCGACTAATCCTCGTGCGATTCCAAAGCTGACGCAGGAATTGCTGAGCCAAACGGCTGCCACTAAGATGATGATAGAGAGGAGAAGGGGCAGGATGTATAGAAATGCAAAAGAAACACATTGTATCCTTTCCTTCATTTTATTGTTTGCCATCTATTTTAATTTTTATTCCAGGACATTAAGTAGTGTTCTTACTATTGATTCTAAGGACAACCGCTATATAATATAGTGCATGTGTGTCTTTGTCCCTTCATTATCAATTCCGGACCTAAAAGATGAAATGTATTGTTATAAGATTCGAATGTAAAAGACTATCAAGTTATGACATACTCCGGTATAAATTTTAAATTAGTTTGGGAAAAGGTGCAAATAGGCCCATGTACTAACCAAAAAAGGTCAAATAAGCCCTTATTTAGGAGACTCTGTCCGGCCGTCGTCATTTGGGTTGGTTCCCGGTAGAATTTTTTGATGAAATTTTTTGAGCATCTTATTAATTAAGTCTAGTTTACTCATACCAAATTTCAGCTAAAACTTCACTCGGGAAGGCATTCAAATGAATTCTTGAAAATAACTGCACATTTAGAAGCGCAGTTATCTTCAAGAATTCATTTGCATGCCTTCCCGATTGAAGTTTTAGCTGAAATTTGATATGAGTAAACTAGACTTGATGAATAAGATGCTCAAAAAATTTCATCAAAAAATTCCACCGGGAACCATCCCAAATGACGACGGCCAGAGAGAACCTCCTAAATAAGGGCTTATTTGATCTTTTTTGGTTAGTACATGGGCCTATTTGCACCTTTTCCCAATTAGTTTTATTAGAAAACACGGAGTACTTTGTCATGACCAATACAAAAGTTGCATCGAATTCTTACAAAAGTTGTCAAGTCATCGATACCCTACAATCAAGTCATAGTGACCTCACACCGATATCATTGCTAACATCATCGCTACCTCATTATCACATGATACACAAATTATACCGATTGTTATACTATGTGCCCGATGTACCGATTCTAACATGATGTAATTTTGTATTAAAAATACACCATATAAAATATTTGCACTCTTTCTTTCTTCTTCGCTGCAATGTATTGTTTTTCCTTTTCCTTTTATTTTCTAATTTCTTCTTTATTTCTTTTCTTCAATGCTTTTCTCATTTTCCATCAAAATACTAATAATTTAACAATGATTTTTATTTTCTTCATCTTCAACTTAAATTACAATTGAATCCACTTTTTTTATTCTTTGGATCATTCATAACAAAAAAATTATTAATCTAAATAAAATAAGCATATTGCATACATATTCAATTCATACACTATATTTTGCAATGCTTTCTTAAATTCATACGGAGTACACTTTTTTTGTGATATATTTTTTATATTCATGAACTTAGCTTTGTTCCATTGATATTTTTATATTTTGATATATTTTAATTATATGGTGTTGTACACATTTGACAATACATGATATTTCATTTCCATACATGTGAGTTACATTTATGGACGATGCCTGAAATTACATTTCATAATACATTGAGTTACATTTTCTTATTCACAAATTACAATTTCTGTGCGAGTTATGTACATTTTATTATGCGTGATTTACATTATCATGTGTGAGAGCTACATTTCCATATGCGCGAGTTACATTTTCATATGCACGAATTACATTTAATGACAAAAATGAAAAAATGTGAGGACTAAATTAAATAAAGTGTAAAACGTAACATAACTGACCAATGCAATTCTTTGTAAGAAAATAAAAAAGAAACGACACAATTATCAAAATAATAAGGGGCCTTTTACTGATTAAAATATTTTTCATTTTTCAGTAAACTAGAAAATTGGAAGAAGATATATTAGAAAACTTGTTTACTTATTTATTTATTTATTTATTTATTTATTTATTTATTCAAAACAATAAAAAGAGATGTGTCTATAATATTTTTTTTAATTTGATAAGTTACTTTTCCGTATTTTCCAGAAAGGAAATAAGTGGTGCTACAGTGCGTCAAACGCATTAATGCTTCTAACAATGTGTTCAGATTTGAAAAATGATAACACAAAATTGGAGTAAGTAAATAGAAGGAAAAAATAGAAAAATATATGGAGTAATAAGTAAAGAGACACTAAACTTTTAAAAAGGAATTAAAAGACACCAAATCTTATAATTGATTATGTTTCTAGTTTGACTTCAATGGTTTTAAGATAGAAAATATTTGGCTTTTGACATTTCTAAATACCCTATACAGTATGTTAGTATATACTATCGTATGTCCTAACGACAATCACTTTTTAGAGATGTACTTGATCACATTCAGTTTATATAGTTGATATATATGGTATTACACATTGATGATTAAGTATTTCGATTGTCAATATCTTATTCATAATTGTGTTCCCTTGAACTTATGTTGACAATAAGTAAGTGGGAGCTTATACGATATATAACATAAGATCCTAAACTAGCCCCAATCAATGATCATCAAGAAAGGGATATTGATGATATGCGATAAGATTAGTATGTGAACTGCATCATACTTTTAGAAAGTATAGTCGATCTCACAACTATGAGTTTCTGTAATTCATGATGGTCACATAGAGATTTTAGAGAATATTGGCATACCCACCGATAAATCATTTGATAAGTTCTATTCATGTGTCTATGGGGTTATCGGCGTATAGAGTAGTGTAATAGGTCCTCCGACTTGAGGTCAATACGTACTACATGTGTAGACACGGCATGGGTTGGGTACATCATGAAGCACATGGAGTAGTAGTTGAGCCAAGAAAGGATTCGTTCCTCGTAATAGATTAAGAGAGAACATTCTACTTCTCATATCTAGATGGATCATAAAGTCATTGGCCAATGCAAAGATATATTCATTTTGGATATTGAATATGATCGTTATGGATCATCTAGAAAGAGTGAGAGACAGAGACTAAGTTATTGGAATAGACACAATATCATATTCTAGACTTAGTTGAATGTTCGTTGAATGAAAGAACCGTATCACTATGACTCTATATTTCAGGGAGTTTGAATAATTCTCGCAAACGTCCTTATATATTAAGTTTGTCTAGCTGGTAAATCGTCTAGGGATTCTGCTAAGACCTTAATTTGATTAGTGCTTAATATATAAAGCTCCATGGGTCACACAACAAGTTATTATACCTTCCGATTAAATTGTTAGAATAAATTAAAAATTAATTGGATTAAATAATATTTGATTCGTAATACTGAAAATGGATTAAATATTAATTAGATTAAACTATATTTAATTCATGATGATTGAAGGAGATTTCTATTTAATAGAATTAATTAAGTGTAATAAATTAGATTTATTAAACTTAATTAAGATGTATTTTTAATTAAATAAAGATGATTATTTATTTTATAGTTTAGAATTATAAAAGAAAGTAAAATGTTCAATTATGATAAAGAGAGGAAGAGTGGCACACGTGAGCCCTCATTCCCTCTTGTATTATTTCATATTATTTAATTAATTAAACAATATGAGGTACTGGTTCTGTTAGGACTAGAACTCATTAATGACAAAGACTTTCATTGTGATTGGAAAACTAGTTTAGAACTAGTATAAATACACCACCTCCTTCTTAACTAGAGACCAGTTTTTAGATTCAGTATTACTATTATATTTCCCTGCGAAGAGATTTCCTAGCCTTTCTCTGTGGGAGATCCAACCGTTTTTTCGGAAAGGAGAAATCACGTGGATACCTAAGGTCAAGAATTATTACCGCTAGGCGGGAAGATCTGTAAGTTCTAACTCAGATCTATTATTATTGTTATATTCGTTGTTTTGTCGTAATCAGGGAAGATCTGTTTGGAAAAAATTTAAACTTCCACTGCTGTACTTTCGAGGTACGTTACATCAATTTCCTAACACAGTAGTGATGTGGTATATTCCCACATATCTCAAGGGTGTAATCATATATGATAAAGTATATCAAGAATCCACTAAGGCAACTATGGTCGAGGTTGAGCTCGGTCACCGAGGTTGTGATTGAAACCAGTTCTCAGATCATCGATAAGTCTAGAAATGCAGCTGAGGCTGAGGTCGATCCTCGCTGAGGTTGGCAGCATTTTCAGCATTACAGTCAAGCTTTAGGCCAACTACCGCACTGCGAGGTTACAAGAATCAACAAAAGCATCACTACTTCACACTACGGCCCGAGGTTACTTCACTCTTAGCTGAACACGCTACACCCGAGTTTGACCTCTACTACCGAGCTTGGGGCTTCATACAGAGATTGTGGACTTAGAGATTTCAACACTTGGATTCCATAATTATTCAGGATTACGTCACCACATGACAATTGTCCTAGGGCTGACATCACTCAAACAGTTATACAAGGAAGATTTCAGACTTACACATGTGGCTTATCTATGCATTCTGGTACATAGAGAACAAATTCAGGTACAACAGTACCAATCATCCAACTATATTGATTATTCTCTCACCAATTAAGCTTTACCATACACCTGTCATTAGATCGATGAATTGCTTATTTGGCTTGTTGTCAACATATTTTTTTTACGCTATAAATGTCACCTTTTTACTTGTGGGAAGGGATCACATTCTCTATTTTCTAGCGGCTAAAGGGTCAAATAGGCCCATGTACACGTTCGGAATGCTCAATTTGCACCCTGAACTAAAAAAAACTCCAATTCACCCCCTGAACTCGACAAAAAGGTCAAATCTCATTTTTTGCAGGTAAATGTCCGGTCACCGCCACGACACCCAGTCAGATGCCAACCGTGCATCCCACGTGGCAATTTAAGGGGTCAAATAGGCCCTTGAACCCGACAGAGTTGTTCAGTTTACCCCCTCAACCGTTAAAAAAAGTCAAAATTGCTATTAAAAAAATAAGAAATTAAAAAATAGAAGATAAAAATATAAAATAATATACAAGTTCATAATATAAAATATAGATGTCTATTTATAAAATAATTAAAAACTATTTATAATTTGTGGTAAATTAATATATAAAAATATAACAAAAATAAATTATTTCTAAATGCATAATATAAAAATGTAATAGCTATTTTCATATTATACTTTTTATATAGTATAATTTTTTGCGGTGTATATAATTACTATGAAGTAAGTATATGATTCTAGAATAAAATAATACAAAGTATATATACATATATGCATGTGTGTGTAATTTTACATATAAATCTAAAACTGATGAATGTCCTTGATACCAACTGAGTTTCTAGTGAGGTAAAAGTCTAG